CAGGCGGATTCTTAACCACTGCGCCACCAGGGAAGCCCCCTGCTAATTTAGATAAGGGTGTTGAGGGACATCTCAGAGGAGGCAATATGGGAGCAGAGACCTGCAGGAAGCTAGGGAGTGAGCTATATGGATATTCAGGGCAGAGCATTCCAGGGCGGGGTGGCGGTGGGGTGGTAGGAGACAGCCAGTGCAAAGGCCCTGAGGTATGTTTACAGAACAGCAAGGAGGCCAGTGCGGCCAAAAGGAGAGACCAAGGAGGAGAGTGGAAAGAAGTGAAGCAGGAGCCGTAACCAGGGTCAGATCACATAGGGCTTTTGTAAGAACTTCAGCTTTTACTCTGAATAGAATGAGGAGCTATTGCAGGGTTTGAGGCAGAGCATGATGTGATCACCCAGGGAGGGTGCTGGGTTAAAAACAGCCCGCAAAGGGACAAAAGCAGGAGCAGGGAGACAACTGAGGACGAGACAGCGGGGGCTTAGACCACAGTGGTGGTGGCAGTGGGGGTGTCAGAGATGCTTCAACTCCAGGCAGATTGAAGTCTTGAGTAGAATCAACGGGACGTACTGAGGCCCTGGGTACAGGTGTAGGAGAACGGGAAGAATCCTGTTCACAGGGAGTGTGCTGGAGCCGGTGGCTCCTACTGGGCCATGTGCGCTGACTGTTGACTGTCCAGGCATCTGGTGACCCTGTTGGCTTTGTGTTGGTTGCTTAATATTGGCCACAGTGGGAGTATTTACACCATGGAAATTGGCAAATGTTGCAAATCAGGAAGTTGCTCCCCACCCCACTTGTCAAGAAAAGCCGTTGTGGAATGCTGACCAGTGTCCTCCTGCTCTAGAATAACTCCGCATCTTTTGGGTCTGAGCAGCAGGCAGGATGGGTGACTCCTTTCTGAGATGGGAAGATGAGGCGAAATAGGTTTGGAGAAAGAGAATCAAGGGTTTAAGTTTGGGGACACGTCGTTGGAGATGCCTCTTAGACATCCAAGTAAGAGGTAAGAAGGCAGGTGGAATAAGTTGAATATAATAGTTGCATCTTCCTTCTAGGAGAACTTTGAGGAGTAAATTAATTAACATTTGGAAAGAACCTTGCAAACGTTGAGTGCTCAATGATGAAAATGGCTTTCTTTATCACCTCCATGAGAAAGGATCTAGACTTGTGGTCCCTCAAGTGTGAATCTGACCAGCAGATACTTTTTGGAGGGGAGGGGGCATTATTTTAACAAACTGAATTTATGTTAGAGAAACGCAAATCAAAACTACAATGAGGGACTTCCCTGATGGCACAGTGGTTAACAATCTGCCTTCCAATGCAGGGGACGTGGGTTCAAGCCCTGGTCGGGGAAGATCCCACATGCCGTGGAGCAACGAAGCCTGTGTGCCACAACTACTGAGCCTGCGCTCTAGAGCCCATGAGCACAGCTACGGAGCCCACATGCCATGATTACTGAAGCCCGCGCACCTAGAGCCCGTGCTCCACAGCAAGAGAAGCCACCACAACAAGAAGCCCGCACGCAGCAACGAAGAGTAGCCCCCGCTCACCGCAACTAGAGAAAGCCCTCGCGCAGCAACAAAGACCCAATGCAGCCAAAAAAGAAACTAAAAAAAAACTACAATGAGTTACCACCTCACACCGGTCAGAATGGCCATCATTAAAAAATCTACAAATAACAAACGCTGGAGAGGATGTGGAGAAAAGGGAACCCTCCTACACTATTGGTGGGAGTGTAAATTGGTGCAGCCACTATGGAGAACAGTATGGAGGCTCCTCAAAAAAAACTAAAAATAGAGTTGCCATATGATCCAGCAATCCTACTCCTGGGCATATATCCAGACAAAACTCTAATTCGAAAAGATATGTGCACCCCTATGTTCATAGCCACACTATTCACAATAGCCAAGACATGGAAGCAACCTAAACGTCTATCAACAGATGAATGGATAAAGAAGATGTGGTGTGTGTGTGTGTGTGTATATACACACACACACACACACACACACACACACACAGAGTATACTACTCAGCCATAAAAAAGAATGAAATAATGCCATTTGCAGCAACATAGATGGACCTAGAGATTTTCATACTGAGTGAAGTAAGTCAGAAAGAGAATGACAAATACCATATATCACTTATATGTGGAATCTAAAATATGACACAAATGAACTTATCTATGAAACAAAACCAGACTCATAGACATAGAGAACAGACTTGTGGTTGCCAAGGGGGAGGGGGATAGAGGAAGGGAAGGATTGAGAGTTTGGGATTAACAGATGCAAACTATTATATAGAGAGAATGGATAAACAACAAGGTCCTACTGTATAGCACAGGAAACTATATTCAATATCCTGTGATAAACTGTAACGGAAAAGAATATGGAAAAGAATGTATATATGGTGGCATATACATATATATGTATATATAACATATATGTGCATATATAGGTACATATGTGTATATACACACATATACGTGTACATGTATACATACATATACATGTATATGTGTATATATATATGTATATATAACAATCACTTTGCTGTATGCCAGAAACTAACACAACATTGTAAATCAACTATACTTTAATAAAATAAACTTTTTAAAAATTTGAATTTACATGATGTTAGGTGGGGATGTAGTTCCCACTTCAACACAGTTCCCCCAGCTCTACATTATCTCACACAGCCCCACTTCCCATTTTATGATACTTGCCTGACCTTGCAGGAGTCAGCGTTTGCATCCTCTCTGTTCAAGGCAACCCGTCCCTTTGCAGAGAAGGAGTGTGAGGCCCAGAGAGGCTGGGTGACGGGTCCAGAGCTGCTCAGGGACCACTGTCAGGGCACAGAGGAGGGAGCCCAGGGGTCCTCCCTCCTAGCCAGCACTCACTTCTAGAGTTGCCAAGATGGTCAGAAGAAAGCGCCCCCTGCAAGGCTTCCTTTTCTGACGCTAACGCTGCTGGTGGCCTGGCTTTGGGGAAGTATTTCTGCTTAAATGCTCCAGTTTCCTGGATGGGCTGCTGCATCGTGCGCTTTGTAGTGGAAATAAAACCCCATCCCATGTTGAGATGAAGGTTAATTGAATATTTGATGCCTGGAGGGGATGAAAGCAGGGTTCCCATTTTCCTGTTTCCTCTTTCAAGCCTCTGACACCAAGGGGAGATGTGGGTCAGTCTTGGTGAAGCAAAACCACCCGTAAGGGATGCATGCTGTGAGGAGAGGATGCTGAGCTGGGCAGAAGGGAGGGGACCACAGACCATGTCTTGGGGCATGGAGCTGGAGGACCTTCAGCAGAAGCCAGGATATCAGGAGTTGATTTCCTCTTCTCCTGGCTGAAGACTGAGGTGGTTTGCCCAGCAACTTCTGGTGGCGGGGTGCTCATCAACTGGGACCATAAATTTATATTTGTCATGAGGGCAGTGGGGAGCCATGGAAGGCTTCCTGGAGGAAGGAGCTTTAGAATGGGGTTTCCTATCACCAGAAAACTACTAGAGCTCATCAATGAATTCAGTAAAGTTGCAGGATATGAAATTAGTATGCAGAAATCTGTTGCATTTCTATACACTAACAACAGAATATCAGGAAGAGAAATTAAAGAAACAATCCCATTTACCATTGCATCAAAAAGAATAAAATACCTAGAAATCAACCTACCTAAGGAGGCAAAATATCTGTAGTCAGAAAACTATAAGCCATTGATGAAAGAAATTGAAGATGACACAAACAGATGGAAAGATATACTGTGTTCTTGGATTGGAAGAATCAATATTGTTAAAATGACTATACTACCCAAGGCAATTACATATTCAATGCAATCCCTATCAAATTACCAATGGCATTTTTCACAGAACTGGAACAAAAAATTTTTAAATTTGTGTGGAAACACAAAAAACCCCGAAGAGCCAAAACAATCTTAAGAAAGAAAAATGGAGCTAGAGGGATCACAATTCCTGACTTCAGACTGTACTACAAAGCTACAGTAATCAAAACAGTAGGGTGCTGGCACAAAATCTTGCAAATAATTTCCCTCTCGCCAGGCTCCTCTGCAAAGCCAAGCAGCACCCAAATCATGCTTCCCACACAAGTGGGTTTCTACTTCAGGCTTGAGGGGAGAGCTGACCCCTAGGCTGCATCCAGAGAGGCTCTTCCAAACTTGCCATCCCCTCACTGTCCCAGCCACGTGTCTGGATCTGCTGGACAGCCCTTTCTTCTGCTTTTCTAGCCACCACTGTGTGTCTCTGTCCCCTTCTCCTGATTCCTGGGGAGTTAGGGAAAGTTCTGGATGGAGCATCTAATAGGTACCCCCACTGAATATTGGAAACAGCCACATAGCCAGGTAAGTCCATTCATGACAGCATTTCTTCATTCAGCAATCATTTTCTGAGCATCTACTATGTGTCAGGCTCTGTGTTAGACCCTGAAACAGAGATAAATCAGACCAGGTCCTGACTGCAAGGACCTTCTGGTCTAGTTGAGAGAGATAGATAGGAAAATAAACTACTGTGGTACAGAGTGTACATGTTATATTTCCCTCCTCCTCCTGACCATACTAGCCATTCGGTCCTCTGAAAATGCTGTGCCTGCTCTTGTCACAGGGCCTCTGCATACTCTGTTCCTTCTTGGATGAATTCATTCCAATTCATCCTTTAGTTCTGAGCTTTGTCAGATCCTCAGGGAAGGCTTTTCTGACCTTCCTCTTTATATCAAGTCCCCGTTATAGAATCTCATGGCATCAGGCACCTTTCCTTACAGTGCTTAACAAAGCTACATCGCTGCAATTCCTCACTTAGTGCCTGTTTCCTTAGACAACTGACTTTCCTGAGGACAGGAACTCCTTCTGGGTGTGTATGATGTTGTCACTTCCTCACCATAAGGACACCAGTTCTTTGCACAGTCCCTGACACGCAGTAGATGCTTAATTAATATTGGTTGAAATAATAAAGCAGGAGCAATTTCTTCCCCAGCTGGCTGGCCTGGGGGGTCCACCCATCATAAACACTCACAATTGGATATCTAAGAAGATCCGTTTCTCCTCCCCTACGTGGATCTTCCAGACACAATCTTCACCTTCCACGTAGGGCTCTGGCCAGTTTGGGGACAGCACCACCCCGGCCACGGCAGAGAGCTCCCCACCACACATGGCTGTAAAGACACAGACACACACACACACATTACTCATAAGGAAGCAGATCTGGTGTAACAGTTAAGAGTGTGGTCTAGGAAGTCAGACAGTCCATACATGTGTGCGGAATGATTAAATTAGGACTGGCCACCTGCCTCCTTTAGCTGAAATTTGGCAAAGGTGGGGCAAGGACATCGTACTGTGGGTTCTGCATCCATGGATTCAACCGACAGGGGATCATAAATATTTGAAGAAAAAATTCCAGAAAGTTTCAAAAAGCAAAACTTGAATTTGCCACTCACCGGCAACTATTCACATAGCGTTAACATTGCATTTAGGACATTCCCATAGCATTTGCATTGTATTTACAACTATTTACACAGTATTTACACTGTATTAGGAATTATAAGTAATCTAGAGATGATTTAAAGTATATGAGAGGATGTGCCCTTTTATATAACGGGCTTGAACATCCACGGATTTTGGTATTGGGGGCGTGGGGGGGTGTGCCTTGGAACCCGTGCCCTGTGGATACTGAAGGATGACTGTAGTTCTTTCAGGACGAACGACAGAGTTCAAAGTTTCAAGTGCATCCTTAATAGCCCTCCCCTTGAGTAGGATGAATAGTAACTAGAGATGGTACATTCTAGTCAGATGGACCTGGGTTCGAGTCTTGCCTCTGCCACCAAAGGCTCTGTGACAAGGCATGTAATAAGTTCCTGGAGCCTCAGATGCCTCCCTCTGTAGAGCAGGGAGAAACACCAGTGCTGACTTCACTGGGTTATTCTGAGGCTTAAGTGAGCTCATGGATGTCAAACACAGCACAACGCCTGGCACAAGGTAAGCGTTCAGTAATTCTTAACGTTACTGTGGAACGCCCTGGCTCTGAACTGGAAGCGGAGATGTGGCCGCACCTGGCACCTGGCCCTTTAAATTTCACTCTGTGTTTACTGCTTTGGAAAATTCTCAGTGTGGCAGAGGCCAAAGCACCAATAAATTCCACTCTGTTAAACCAGCACATTTAATACAGGGATCAATCCCTCACCACGGCAAGGCTGTGATTTCACGCCAACCACCATCCAGGTGGCGGCTGCCGGGAGCCAGGGCTCTGTTCATTACTCCACATTCCCCACATGGGTCCAGGCTCGGGGTGGCTCAGTGGCCTTGAACGTGGAGAAATAGGGGAGGGCAGGGCACTGGGAGTCCCCGCAGATGAGGATTCCACACAGCTGACATTGTCCAAAGGGGCTCAGGGCACAGGTCTCTGAGAACAGAGAGACTTGAGTTCCATTCCCACCTCTGCCAATTACCCTCAGTGTGTTCTGAAGCATGTCACGTCACAGCTTGTTTCCTCAGCTGTACACGGAATCAATAATAATATGCACCTCACAGGGTTGTAGCGAGAATGAAATCAAAAAATAGGAGTTTTTTGCACTCCTATTAACAACTGTTATCATCATCATTAATTAGACTCAGGGCTGCCATGTGCTGTTGGGCAGGCTGTGCACTGCACATGTCTGCATAGCACAGGTAGGAGCTGAAATCCATGCAGCGATCTTCTCACCAAGCTGTGCATGATGGGGTCTTGTGCCTGGAGGAAGAGGCAACTTTTCAATTTTACCCATTTTGTGATTTTCTCAAGGACCAGCAGCAAACCTGACCCAAAGGAGGGTGAGCTCCAGAAAGGATTCTACTCCTAAAATCGGTATATAAGCTGGGCCTTTCATCTGAAGGGGTGGAGGGCTCTGGGGTGCCCTGGGAGGAGGGCTGTGACCCACTCACCTCTGCACAGGGGCTCCGTGTCGTTCCAGTATGGGTCCCGCACGTTGATACACTCAATGATGGCCGGGCCCTGCTCCAGGGAGTGGCCGGGGTCGCAGGTAAACTCCACTATGGTCCCGATGTTATAGGTCGGGTCAGACGTGGTGAAGTTCCCATTCTGAATGTAGGGCTCATAGCAGTGGCCTTTCTCAAAGGCTGGGGCCAGGACACAAAAGAGGGCAGCCGCTCAAATGAGTCAGGGGTGGCTCACAGGGCTGTGTCTCAGAAGCAGGGGCCCCTCCTGCTGTTCAGGGAAGCCCCAAGGGAAACGGGTACCAGACCCCACATTCCAGTTCCCACTGACCTGCTGAGGGCCCTTAGGCCATTCACTTGGCTTCTCGGGCCTCATTATTTCTTATCTAAAATGGGAACAAGAACCTCTGCTCTCCCAACCCTGCAGAGGCGGCCTTTGGAAGTCCAAAAGTCACTCTAGCTACGGCTTCTCCCCAATCCTTTGCAGGTCAGATTTCTACCTCCCATGACCCGGCCCCGCCATGCTTCCCCTGCTCCCATGCTGCCACCCTAGGAGACGGGGCAGCCTCCGGGACCCTCACCCTCGAACCGGATGTTGAAGGCTGAGGCCACCCGCCCCTGGTCAGACGTGAATTCGATGCAGATGGTGTGGCCATCACTCAGCAGGCCCTCAAAGGGGACATTCTCGGTTTGGAGGGAGTCGTAGAGAAGAGTGGATTTGTTGGTCAGCCCACTGTAGACCATCATCCTGGCAGTGAGGAAGGAGACAAGAGCCAATATGAGGTCTTCTCGGGCCGCTGATACACAGCAGTGGGAGGTGTGTGCTGTGACCACCCACTTCGCGGCCTCAATCCCAGACTCACATCCCGATTTCACCCCATACTCGCCCGCGCACTCTGCTTCATCTATTCGAATTTGTCTCCCTTTCTGTACAATGCTTGTCCCAGACTCATGGATAGACTCTGAGCTCTTAAGGAAAGTGCTGGGTGTGATGTAATGACCAGATGAATTAATAGATACTGATTATTATTACTAATTGAGAAGCTGGGATGATTGGGCTAATATCATTCCTGAAACACTGATATATATATAATCAGACAGAGTTCCGACTTTAACTTCTGAGCTGAGTGACTTTGGACAAAAACACTGCACCCCACTGAGCCTCTGTTTCATCTGTAAAATGGGTACAAGCACACCTACACCAGAGTGTGGGGATTAGAGACCATGGATATAGAGTGCGCAGGACAGAGTCGGTATGCAAGTCAAATGACTAAGCATTGGACCCCTGCTACACTCTGTCACTGATTTTTATCTCCTAAGACCACCGTGCCTGCAGTCAGGAGTCCCAATTTTTAGTCCCCAGTTCCCTACCCACTGAGCTTTCTCTAGTTGCGGTGAGCAGGGGCTACTCTTCATTGTGGTGCGCGGGCTTCTCATTGCAGTGGCTTCTCCTGTTGCGGAGCACAGGCTCTAGGTGTGCGGGCTTCAGTAGTTGTGGCTCGTGGGTTCTACAGCGCAGGCTCAGTAGTTGTGGCGCATGTGCTTAGTTGCTCCTCAAGGCTCTTACCATTTCTCTGCACTTGTGTTCCTTGTCCTGCAGGCTTTCTCTGGAGCGCCCCAGCTACTGGCACAGGTGACAGGCCAGTGTGTCAGGGAATTAACAAACTCTGAGAGCAGCCATCATCTAACTGATGGGAGATGAGGGACAATGATCTCTGCTCTCTCGCTGCTAGGAATGGGGAAGTTAGTGTGTGTGTCTACACTGGCTCCCAGAGTTCCCAGGTGGAAGAGAATTTCTTTTTTTTAATAAATTTATTTATTTTTGGCTGCGTTGGGTCTTCATTGCTGCATGGGCTTTCTCTAGTTGTGATGAGCGGGGCCTACTCTTTGTTGTGGTGAGTGGGCTTCTCATTATGGTGGCTTCTCTTGTTGCAGAGCACAGTCTCTAGGTGTGCGGCCTTCAGTAGTTGCAGCGCGTGGGCTCAGCAGTTGTGGCTCGCAGGCTCTAGAGCGCAGGCTCAGCAGTTGGGGTGCACGTGCTTAGTTGCTCTGCGGCATGTGGGATCTTCCCGGACCAGGGCTCGACCCCATGTCCCCTGCACTGGCAGGCGGATTCTTAGCCACTGTGCTACCAGGGAAGCCCCACACCTTGTACTTTAAAGTAGTGATTTATTGATATGGAGTTGTTCAGGATAAAGCTGGATGACTTGGAAGGAAGTAGCCTCCAGAGTTGGGTAACTTATTCAGTTTTCTGGTATTTTCTCTCAGAATCCTTTCCTAGAGGTTAATGGTCTAGATTTGAAGCTTCAAAGAAGCCAGGACACTATATAATTCTAAGATCAACATCGGACAATTCCAGAATTCTAAGGTGCCGACACTCTGTCGGTGCCCTACCCACATCCCCATAGCACTCTTTCCTTACCCATTTTCGGCTGGCTTCCAGAGTCTCTGAGAATCAGCCAGCTCCAAGGGTGGCAGGCAGTGTTGGGGAGTCAGTGTGTCCAGGAGCACGCCTCCTCCAACATGGATGGTGGGGGTGGATAAATACCCAGCTCCCTCACCCTCCGATAGGAACGCTCTGAGCCCTGCTCAACGCAGCTTCCTGGAGGCCCGCAGAAGATAGAGACCCAGTTGTCTCTGCAGTCACCTGCCTACTAATACATACTGTATCTACTCCCTTTCCTTCTCTGCTCATTTTCCTGGTGCTAAGATCAGCTCCCAAACAAACCACTTTCTCTCACGTCTTTGTCACTCTGTCTGTTTCCAAGGAAACTCAACCTAAGACAGCAAGTCTAAGCAGCTAAGACCCTAATTTTCTAGAACATTCCAGAATATTCTAGAATAAGTTCTCAGCGTTTTCAGATTCTGGATTCTGTGCATATAACTTAGCATCTACAGACATACTCTTGCTTAGATGTTGCCTTGTATCTTCTCTAGTTCCTTCTTGTACATAAGTCTGGTTTTTCCATCTCAACTGCCAGGAACCAATGTTTCCTACTTCTCTCCTGTTCTCCATGGAGGCTAATACATGATTGGGCACAGAGCCGATGCTCAGTAAACACTCCCTCCTTGTTCAACTGCAAAAAGGGATGCGCAGGAGAAGGGATGAGGCAGTTCGAGGTCGGGGAACTGGATTCCCTTCTTGTCTCTCCCCCTACCCTGTTGTGTGACTAGGGTAAGTCCCTTCCCCTCTGTATGTCCTAGTTTCCTTATGTGTAAAAGGAAGAGATCGAAGATGATGGTCTCTAATATCCTTGCCACCCTCCCCAGCTCTTCCTTTCTTGACGTCCATGAGGCAGCATTTCAGTCCTTTCAAGACTCCAAATCGCAAGCCACGTTCTAACACTCTGGGAAGGAATGAGGCTGGCTGGGGACCCTCAGAGTTTTACCTGTCCTTCTCATGCAGTGACAGCTTCTCAAAGTGCAGATGCAGCTTCTGGCCCTCTGGAGCTTCAATTGTCCACACACAGAACTGGCTCCCATTGGTATTTCCAGAGTGACTTGGGGACAGGACGCGGCCGATGGTGGCGTTGTGCACCGCCCCTCCACAAGGGGCTGGGGTCAGAGAGTAGGGGTGGGTGGGCAGTGAGAAGATTGCAGAGAGAGACAGAGAGAGAGAGGAAGTGAGGGTTTCATCCTTCCCCACTCCCCACCCCTTCATGGGAGGAAATAGGCTGGGGAAGAGAGAAACCATGGGAAAAGTCCCATCCTCCTGAGACAGGTTCATCTTGTTTGACAGGTGGTCTAATTCCATGATTAGAACCATTGCCATGTGCGTTCCATGGTGGGGAATGAATGGCTGTGATTTAAGGATTCTTCCATGCGCTGGCTGTGCCCTGATTCCTAATTACAAAATGGTAATTAAGAAGGACATAAATAGGCAGTTCTCAAAAGAAGAAATATACTTTTATTACTCAGTAAGCACTAAAAAAATACAGCCTCACTGGTAATAAAAGAAATGCAAATCTAAACTATATTCTATCTTTATCCACCTAATTGGTCAAGATAAAAAGCAGCAATAAACTGGAAAGCTATCTCCAGTGATGGGAAATGGTCACTCTCATTCAGGAGTGGTTAGATTGCAAGTTGCTGTGGCCTTTCAGGAGGGCAATCTGATGAAAACTCTGGAAAATATGTTCAAACACTCTGACCTAGTAATTAAGGTTCTGGGAATTTACCTTAAGAAAAGATTTAGAGAGTTTCACAAAAATGTATGAATGAGGATGTTCACTGCCAGATTGCCTCTAAGAGCAAAAAACAGAAGGAACATGAATGTCCGTGTACAGATGCTTGGTGAAATAAATGCGTGTCATTCATATAGTTTTGAAGAAACATGTTCTCAAAGAACTTGAGAATATAGGACAATATTCACCATATTTTACGTGGGAAAAAAGAAGCTAGAAAATGGTCCGCTATATCTATTTCAATGAGCTATATGCAAGGATCAACTGAGACCAGGAATGTAAAAGTGATTTGCTACAGTCTTCAACACTTTCTTGGAATTTTTTTTTTTTTTTTACCAGAGCCATGTATTACTTTTATCATAAAAATTTAATAAATATTAAAAAGTGATTTGTGAACTAGAAAGAGTTATACAAATGTGGGGAGGTAGACTTATTTTTAGGATATTTGGTTTTCATTAAATGTTTGCTGAATGACTGCATGACTAATAAGGACGTGCACTGATGAGAAAGGCAGATAGCTCCCTTCTCTGCTCTGGACTCTGCTGTGACCTACAGCAAAGACACTACCAAGAGGTCTTGTACCGTAGTTCTTTCAGGACCACGGACAGAGCACTGGGACGCAGGCTCTCCAGCTACCTCTCCTGAATCCCCATCCAAAAGTGAAGGTTCAAATCTGGCCAGCGCCACTTATCTGCTGTGGATCTAGGACGAGCCACTGAAGATCTCTGAACCTCTAGGTCACTGTAAAATGTTAATACTAATTCCACCCTCTTTATGGGACTGTGGTGGTTAAGTCAATGCAACACTGCATGTAGAGGGCTTGGCACTGTCCCTGGCACAGAGTAGGTGCTCAAAGTGTAGCCAGCATTACTGCCCCATAGCTCAGGAGCCAAGGAGATGGACACTGTCCCTGGTGGGGGGCGTCGGCCATCTGTCCTCCCCGAGCTGCCACTCATTTGCGGCCTCTCTGCTCCCATTCCTTGCCTTATTAAGCCGACTGATGACTGGTTTCAATTTGCCAGCCGCGGCTCCCCATCCGTCTTTCTTAGCACAAATTGAGGCTTAATTCCTCTCTGATTTCATACATAGATAAAAATTAACGTGAGGGAGGCATGGAGACCAACTTCCCTATGGTTTGAATTTTTTTTCTTTGTTAAAAAAAAAAAAAGAAAAATTCTGAAGGGCCTTGGGGGAACGATACTGCAACAATTAAATCTGAGAATTTATCATCAGCTCTCATTTGCATTTTGAATTCTACTGACTATATGAATGCCTGGAGGGCAGGAGTGATGTTTTCTTATTCCCAGTATTCTCCTTGTACATGACTCATGGCCTGGCACAGAGAAGGTGCTCAGTTAATGTGGGCAGCCTACACTTTCCTGGCCATGGTCAGGACTTTTGAGACTCTAATAGAGATTTGCTCTCTTGATAACTGAGGATGGTCAAGGTTATGGCCACTGGGGCAGACAGAGTGTGGTACAGAGTGCTTCTCAATCTATAATGTGCACATGAACCACAAAAGGAGCATCTTAAATGTAGATTTTGATTCGCTTGGTTTTGTATGGGGCTTGGGATTGTGTATTTCTAATAAACTCACTGGTCTGCAGATTGCACTTTGAACAGTGAAGGTGTAAGGAAAAGAGCTCAGGAGAGAAGGGTTCTGGACTCAGTTCAATTTCTATCTGGTGACTTTGAGGGAGAAACTTCACCTCCATGGGCCTCAGTTTCCTCATCTGTAAAATGGGGATATTGTTCCCACCATGTAGGATTGCTGTGAGGATTTATCAGAGCCCTGGCATATGGACTGGGCTCAAAATATGGCAGCTGTCATATCCAAGGCACAAGCAACAAACAAAAATTACACAAATTAGACTTTGTCAAAATTAAGGACACTATCAAGAAGTGAAAAGACAACCCACAGAGTGGGAGAAAATATTTTCAAATCATATATCTGGTAAGGGTCTAGTATCCAGAATATATAAAGAACTCCTACAACTCAAGAAAAAGACAAACAAATTTTAAAAATGGGCAAAGGACTTGGATAGACATTTCCCCTAGAAGATATACAAATGGCCAACAAGCGTATGAAAAGATACTAATGTCATTAGCCATTAGGAAAATGCAAATCAAAATCACAGTAAGACACCTTCACACCCACATTATTATATGGCTATAATAATAAAAAGAAGACATCGAAAATAAGTGCTGGTGAGGATGTGGAGAAACTGGTACTTTCATACATGGCTGGTGGGAAAGTAAAACGGTGCAGCCGTTGTGGAAAACAGTTTGACGGTTCCTTCAAAAGTTAAACGTGGTATTAGCATATAACTCAGCAATTCCACTTTGGGGTATATATACCCCAGAGAAATGAAAACATAAAAACCTGCATACAGACATTTATAGCAGCATTATTCCTAATACCCCCAAAGTGGAAACAATTCAAATGTCCACCAACGAATGAACAGATGAAATGTGGCCTATCCATATTATGGAATATTATTCAGTCATGAAAAGGAATGAAGTTCTGACAGACGTTACAACATGGATGGACCCTGAAAACACTATGCTAAGTGAAAGAAGCCGGATACAAAAGGTTACATATTGTACGATCCCATGTACGTGAAATGTCCAGAATAGGCAAATCTATAGAGACAGAAAGCATACTGGTGGTTGCCAAGGGCTGGGGACAGGGAGAAATGGGGAGTGACTGCTACTGGGTCCAGGGTGTCCTTTTGGGGGTGATAAAGATAGCGGTGATGGTTGCACAATGTTGTGAATGTACTAAGTGTCACTAATGGTCAATTTTATCATATAACAAAACGTTAAACGGCAGCAGCCACCTGTATTTGGAGGAGTCCCTTCCCTAAGGTCAATGCTAATACCCTGGGGGCTGGCCCCTCCCCTCTTAAGAGGACCATCGTGTTTGGTCTGGCTGAGGCTGGCATGTACCTGAGCAGATGGGTTCCTGGCTGCTCCAGTGGGGCTTGGAGGCATTGATGCACGTCAGCGTCTTGGCACCCTGGAGCTCGTAACCCAGGTGGCAGTGGAAGTGGGCTACCCCACCTGAGTGCAGGTCCATCACCATGACATCCCCGTAGTCAGGCCGGCGGGGAAAATTGCAGCTCAGCATGAAGGCTGGGAAGAAATGCAGGGGCAGACAGTCATCTCTCAGAGGCAGAGACAAAGAACATGACCCACATCCTGGGAGTCAATTTTTGCTGAGGAGAAAAGATGAGGCCCCTGAGGCCCCTGGAGTGCTGGAGGAGGGTATTCTCGTGACTCGAGTTGATCACGTGGTGCTGAGACTGCCAGATGAGCGCTTTTTTCTAGGCTCAAAGCTCCCCACCCTGCCTAAGCAGAGACAGCAGGTTTGGGGCGACAAATGTGTTCCCATCTCTCCCTGGAGACAACGGCCTTCTCCTTGAGCACAGGAGGGACAGGATCACCCAGGTAGGTTAGTCTCACCTGCACGAACAGCTTAGGTGTCTGATAAAAATGCAGGCTCTTGGACCAGAGTTAGAATAACCAGTTCTTCAGGAAATGCCCAAGATATGAAAGCTTGGAAACAACCGTCCTGGGAGGTAAGGACTTGGGCTCTGAGGGTGATGAATGTGAGTTTACATTCTCTTACTCCATCACTCAGAAACCGTGTGACCTTGAGAAACTGACACAGTGCCCTGAACTTCACTCTCCTCTCTGTGATCGTCCCTGTTTCACAGGTGGCGGTAAGGATTACATGAGAAATGCCAAAGAAGAGCCTCCTTAGCCCAATATCTGGTGCACAGAGCTCACGGGATGGGGTGGCAGAAGGGTGTACGTGACCACGTTGAGCTCCTTGAGTTTCATTTTCATAAGAGGGTGCTGAACCCGTCCTAGCTCCACCACTAGACTATGGTCTGACCTCTCCTGCAGCCTAGGATATGTGCATTCCCAGTTCCCATGAGGAGGACTAAATTCAAGCTCATGGCTCAATGAGCTATTTTTTTTCCATTTTTTAATTAACAAAGACAACAGACGGTAGTCTGCATATTGAGAAGGTGTGAGGAAATGGACACTCCTGTATACAGTCACCCATCTGTTTCAGAAACATCCAAGGGGAAATTTTTAAATGAATTGTTTTTCCAGACATTTAGTCAATGTGACGTAAATGTGGATGGCTTTTGACCTCCCAAGGTGTGGCTAAGGGCTCCCCTTCCCCATCTTATACTTGGCAAGTATCCAGGGGGAGCTCCTAGTAAGGGAAGTAACCGGAGATCTTGGGAAACGCCCAGGAGGTGGGGAAAATGGGATGACATTGAAATGAGAGAGAGAAGGAAGAGAGAATGGGGGTGGGAATGAAGAGAGGGAGGGGAGGAAAGAAAGATATGAAGGAGGCAAGAAAAGAGGGAGGAGAAGAGAGGAGAAAGGTGAACAGAAAACAAAAGAGAGGAGACTAGAAACAGACAAAAAAGGAAAGAAAGAAACAGTGGAGAAGAAGAAAAAAGAGAGAAGGACTCCAGTAGCAAAGGCTGTTTCCCAGCAACCCATGGACTCTCATGGGATTTGTGTGTCAGATTCAGGAGACATGAACTTGAACGGGAAAAGGGGGCTTGCTCATCCTTCATTAACCTTTCACTTAACAATGGTATTTCCTTCAATCACAAATGTAGGCAACAATGTGTAACATAGTCACAGAACATGTGACTTTGTCACCAAGAAAAATCATAGATATTTTCATATCAAAATGAGTATCTTGACATATTTCTTATGCTCCTTTGAAATTACAGTAATTATCAGAGCCACTGGGAAATATTATTTAATGTGTTAATCAAGAAGCACAGAGGTTATGATGTCATAGATGAAAACAATATTTTGACAACTGCTATTAAATACGAATGGCTTCCTTTTGAATTGTACATATTTTATGCTCTTAAAAACACAAATCTAAGATGGGGTTCACAGTGTTACCAAACTGCCAGAGGGGGTCCCTGGCACAAAAAGGGTGAGAATCCTTGGCTCCAGAGAGAAAGGGAGACAAAAGCGACATCTCAACAGCCCCAGCCTGTCTTACCCTGGTAGTGCAGCTGGAAGGTCCCAAGGCCATCGTCCTGGAAGGTCCGGAAGTAGACGGAGATGGTGTTGGTGGGGCTTCGGATCACCTGCCCCTCTACCAGGAGGGTGTGGTTGGCCAGAATGGTCAGGGAGGGGCCGTCCACCCCACGGATGGAAAGCAGCTCCCCCTCGGACAGGTTCACACTCTTCACCTGGAGACAGGTAGGGGTAGACAGAATCTGAGTCGTGTTTGGGACAGGGCATCTGTTAGCCCCCTTATCTGAGTCCCATGAAAGGGGCTTCTGGATGCTGGCAGCCGAGACAGAGTCTTCTGGAGCTGGCAGGTGGGGGCAGGGGTTTGATCAGCTTGTGCCTGAGGTCCCATCTCCAGGGAGACAGAAGGCATTTCACCAGAAGGTAAGCTCCAGGGAGGCAGGAAACTTTCCGTGCTGCTCAGCGTCCCCAGGGCCTAAAATCGTGCCTGGCACGTAGTACGTGCTCAATAATCTTTATGGACTGACTGAATACATTCTTGCCCTTCTGCATAAACTGGTGAGGGGATGGGGGGCCTCATCTCTAGGGCTTTCTCAGGCCCACTTTCTTATCCTCCTCAATGGTGGCTTCAGTGGCAGAGGCTCCTCAAAGCTCCATGTACTTGGTTTGCCTAGTCCACTTTCCAGGCTTGGGAGAGAAAGAAGGGAGATACTTTACTCGCAGACAAGGATGCTGAACAAATGGAGCGGGGGTGGGGTGGGGACCTTAGTCAGTCCCCAGTTCCCAATATGAGTATTTCTGCTTCTCTTAGTGGGGCCTGGGACCCCAGACCCTTGTCTCTTGTGTAAGCAAGGCAGGCATTACTGACAAGCCTTTCCTCTTTCAGGCCATACACCTTACTCTCTTTTCTCTTTGATGAATGCCTACTCATTCGTCAAAGCCCCACTAAAATTACCCTTCTCCGTGAAACCTTCCCTAACTGCCGAGGAGCTTGCCTGTCTCTCCACTGTGATTCCACAACATCCACTATGAACATCTACTACAGACCATTGGGAGAAGCATCCCAATGTCTTCCACGTGTGTCTATCTCAATCACGAAACAGCAGACTCCTTTAGGGCAGGCACTGCAGCAGTTTTACATATCACCCTGCCCCCCACTGCTGTGACTGGTACAGAGCAGGTGCTAATGAAGGAATTCTATGGTGCCTGATGAAAAGCTCCGTACAGTATTAGACAGAGTGGGTCTGTTCAAGTGGAGGAAGTGCTCATGAAGTGCCAGCATCAGCTGGACTGCAACTTTTCTCCAGGTTAAGTCCATGAACGTTTACGAAGTACCTACCACGTGCCGCGTGCTGTGCTAAGCTCTGGACACGAGTTCTGCCGAGAGGCTTACCTTTCATCCTCCCTATGCAATCAGAAAACCTTCTTAAAGTAAAGTTCTGCTTATGTCATACAACTGACTCTGCTTGAAATCTTCTGGTGGCTTTCTGGCTTCACGTCCACCCTTTCTTCTGTGGGACAGTGAACTGGACAGTTCACCACTTCCTGGCATGTCATCTTACTTCATACCAAAAAGTGCTTCTAAAGATGGGGAGGTCGGTTGGGGATGGCCTGGAACTAGGGTGGGGATAATTGGTAACATGCATTGAGTGCCCGCTGTCTCTCTCTTAGGCTCTGGATGAATGCCCTCTGTGCACTGTCATATTTATTCCTCCCTGAAACTCTGTAAAGCAGCAACATTTTCATCTGTTTTACTGATGGGGAAACTGAGGCTCAGAGAGCTGGAGTCCCTTACCCAAAGTCATATAGCATTAACTGGTAGAGCCGCGACTTAAAACCCAGATGTTTGAGCACTATGCTATCCTGCTTTTCCATTCTTAGTTTGCAGCCAAAAGTTTATGAATCAAATAAGCCACATGGGGCTTCCATGACTATGTGTGTGTTTGATAAGCAGGATATCAAAGGACTTTCCTTTTGGGTGTAATGATTCACAACTTATCAACACATCCCCTTCCCTCCATGTGTGCCAAACTATTTCAGCTGTGCCCTGAGTTAGGAACTCCTATTCATCCACCAAAGCCCAGCTTAAATTGCCCCATTAGGGCAAAGCCAGAACCAAACTGGTTAGGATGATAAAAACAAGCCTGACTCAGACAATCCTTCAGAGACCTCCTGCTGGAAGAGGCAGCCACTGCAGGGCACCTTTATGGGGTTACCTGGAGCTCCACCCCATAGCCAGTGTAGACTGTCACGTTGTACGTGCACTCCAGGAAGTTGTTGAGGGGCAGCGGTGGGTAATCACTGGAGTCGATGTACCCTTCAGGATCGGAGAAACTCACACTGCAGAGAGCTGGAGGAAAGCACTGTCATTAGGACACGGAGAACAGCTCAGATGTCATCTCTCAGATGGGCTGCGGGCTGGAACAGAGCCTCTGGGGACACCTGTGTTCTCCTGTCCCCACTCCTCCCACTGCTGTTCATTCTCCTTCAGCTCCAGAATCAACATGATAATCAAATAGCAGCATCTGACACAGAATGATAACTTACTACATGCTGCTAGGCACCTCATCGGTCTACAGAGGTGACCCCATTCATCCTCGAAGGGACTGATATTTCATTCTCATCTCAGAGATTAAGTAAAGCAAAGCTCAGAGAGGGTGCGCATCTGGGCCAAGCTCACACAGCAAGCAGGAGTCAAACCTAGAGCTCATACTCTTTCCTGAGCGGCCACACTGCATTTGTCCAAAATCAATGTATGATTGACAGCTGATGTCTCTCCTCTGTGTTTGAAGATGGAAAAAAAGGTAGAAGAAAGACTGGAACACAGACGTGCATTTTATCAAGTTCAAGTAACGGTAAAAGCAAAAGCACCTTGAAAGGCCAGGGCCTTCTAGGCAGACAAAAGGATTCTGTTCCAAGATGAAGGGCTTTGAATCCCGCTGTTTAGCTGTGTGGCATTGGGCAGGGTACTCGATGTCTTATGGTCTCAGGGATCTCATCTCTAAAATAGGGATATTAATTCTGGGCCACAGGGTCAAGCTCATAGCTAGGGCTCCATAGATGGTAACCAATGGTGGGACGTGGACCTCCCCGGCCCCCCTCTCCCATGCCCTGCACACAGCAGGTGCCTCATCGCAGTTCTGGGAGGGCTGGAGGGGTTGGGGGCTACACACCTGGGGCCTGCTCAGTGGTGATAACCGTGGTGGTAATGATGGTGGACGTCGTGGTCTCCTGGCTTTCCTCCGAGGCCGACCCGGTCAGCTCGTTCTCACATTTGTCCATCAGGGTCATGGGGCTGGCATCCCCTGGGGGAGCCTCGTGGGCCTCCTCAGGCACGGCGGGCGCCCCGGGGTCGGGGCTCTGGGGGAGCGTGTGGGCCACCAGCGGCTGCGAGGTGAAGGGGGCGATCTGTAGGGGCGCGGGCGTCGTGGGGACTGCACCTTCCTTCTGCTCCAGCCAGAGGGGTTCCTCCGATGACAGCAACAGTGGGTGGGTCTCCTCCCCTGCGGAGGCCACGGGGTCCTGGTCCCCAGGTGGGCGGAGCTTCTCCGTGGCAGAGGAGAGGAGGACCAGGTCCGAGGATGCTGGCTGGGACGCCGCCCTCTGCACAGCTGCTGCGGTGGTGGCTTTCGGCCTCAGCTGCCTCCTGGTCAAGTTCACCTGCTTGAGCGAAGGCGGCTTCCTCGTCGGGGGGAAGGCATGCCCGGTGCCGGGTTCCTCCGGAAGCTGAAGCAGCATGGACGCGGCCGCGGAGTCTTGAGGTGCGGAGGGGACCATCCCTTCCAACTCTGGCTTGTGAAGCTCGTCCCCTGACTGCGCTGGATTCAGAGGGGCCGTGGTCACTCTCTCTTTGGGGGTCTCGTGGCTCAGACTGCTGCTCCCCAGGGCTTCCAAGGGCAGAAAGTAAGTACCTGAAGGGCCAGCATCTCCCTCCAGTGGCGCATCTTGGAAAGAGAATGGACACCAGTTAGCTTGGGGCCAGGGGCTTTAGGTCCTCAACTGGCAGACTCTGAGGGTGGCACCCCTGAGGTGGTACCCAAGTCTTGCTAGGATGCTGGTACAGCCCAATCAACCAATGTGGGGCTGCCTCCTTTCATTCCTTCTTCCCTTCCTTTCTTACTTCCTTTTCCCAACCAGGGAGACTGGGGTTGATCATGGCCAGCCTGAGCTAAGCATTAGAGGTACAGAAACCAAGGGCACAAGAATTTCACAGTCCAGTTACATATGCCCTGGGAGGGGGAATAAGAAAGTAGAAATAATCATATTTGATGTGATAAACGCTTAGAAAGAGAAAAGTTTTGTGTGCTAAGAGGACAGGCCCCTCACCCAGTCTGTGGGGCAGAACCACCATGTACAGCTGGGCAGGTTGCTCACTGCACAAGGCTATCCCACTAAGAGGATGAGTGGGGCTGTAACCAACCCACAGTCTCTTCTCTAAGCTGTGTGCCCTGACTCAGGGCTATATTATCCTGGGATTGGGGGAGTTTGATTTTTTTTTTTGTTTTAACTAAATAATGTACAAGTGACCTTGTGGGAAACTCACAAAGATTTGAGGATCCAGAATCGTGAGGCAGGTTTAGAACAGAGGGGTGTGGGAAGACCCGAGGCCTGGCTGAGGTGAGCGCAAAAGAGGAATGAAAGAGAACAGGGGACAGAGGTGGAGGGTGATTGAAGAGAGAGCTGGTGAGGTAGGGAGGTGGGGGCCAGTCTCTGGTGGGCCTTGTATGTCCTGCTGACTCCTTGTGATTTATTTTTGCCTTGAAAGGAAAACCACCTAATAATTTTAAATAAGGGCTGGCCCAGGCTACTGTTTAGCAGACTCATGCCTGAAAACAGCTGCATCTACTTATTTGAGACCCAGTTCTGCCAACTGCAAGCTGGCAAATGGCTCTACCTCTCTGAGCCTCAGTTTCCTCAGCTGTAAAATGGGGCTATTGTCCCTATTTCATAGAGTTTTCATCGTTCAAGAGGTTGATTATGGAAAGCATACGTACATGTATGCACATGTGGGTCCCTCACCCACAGAGTGCCTGGTATGTATCCGCTGCTGTACCCGTCATTGTTTCTTATACTCTTGTCATTGTAATCGTGCCCTCAGCAGGGGGCTGGAGCAGTCAGAATGTTACCGATGATGATCTTGAGATAGAGAGGAATTATGTCCTGGGGCCAAAGGACTGATAGCAGTCCTTGTCAATTTTCCGCAGAAAAAGACAGACACTCAGCCACAGTCTCAGGTCCCTTCAGCACTGTCATTTACATTTATTTCCATAGCCGTTGGAAAGGCTCTTTTACTTTCACAGAGTCAGCACCGGCAGTGGCTTAATCTATCTAGACTGCAACAGTGTGCAACTGGCATCAACAAATATTCCTGTCGTGTAACACTGATTACCAAGCCCGTGTACATTCCAGGCCGATGATGGCCCTGGGGCCAGATCTGACCTGAGGACAGATCCAGGTCATTCAGGTGCCAGGCAGGTTTCCTGGTCCAAGGTGGGAAGCGCTGAGGCTTTGGGGTTAGACCTGGGTTCAAATCCTGCCTTTGACAGTTACTAGCTGCGTGAACCTGGGCAAATCCATTAAGCCTCTTTTGTGTAGTAGAGACACTCCATCTACCTCATAGGATCAGCTCAGTTGTGGCCCTGCTTGAAAGCTGTGACTTTTATGCTCATGGTCACTTTTATCAAATGACTGGTATTGACCATCTTTGTAGACTGTCAAGTGAGAAGGTGATAAGACAAGAACAATCGCGGATGAGGGTTCAGGACACCTGGCTCCCAAGACCCAGCTGTGGTTTGATGCACAGAGCTTGGATGCAAGCAGGGGCTGGGGGACCCGGATAGTGGTCCTGTCTTGGCCACTACTTCCCATCATTACTGGGTGGGTTTCCTCTTCTGTGTGTCAAATGGGCAGCCAGACTAGATAAAATCTAAGGGTCCTTCCAGCTCTGACTGTTGATTTTTGAAACAATCAGGTAACTGGCAATTATTCTTAGAGCTTGTTGGTAATCTTGCTAAAAAGGGCCAAGCGACAACCTCAGTCCTGACACTAGCTTGTGAGTTTTGTTGGGTCCTGTGGCTACATTCGTTTCAGCCAGTCTTTTCACAAAAACGCCCCCTTGATCACAAGGGGCTGGAGGAGAGAGAGGAAGTGGAAGAGGGAGTGAGAGATAGAAATACTTGGAAAACAAGTTGTGTCAAAGGTGATAAAAGATTACAAATGACATAAAGCACATCAATGTGCCTTGGCTGTAATAAGAGTGATATTTATAACATTTCGTTTCTGATGACTTTATCGAGTGCCGAATACGTGCAAAGGCGTGTGCTACACGCTTTGTATTCACTACCTCACCTAAATCCTTCTCACCCTTACTAATTAGAAATCATTATTCCTATTTTACGGATGGGCAAATGGAGGCTCTAGGGTATTAAGTAACTTTCCAAGGTCATACAACAAAGCTGGGTTTCAAACCTTGGTTTTCCTGATGGCAAAGACCACGCTGCCAGCCTTCAAGAAATACGGAGTATTATCACCTGCAGCCTCTCCTCGGCTTGAATTGGCCTCTCCCCACAAAACCCCTCTCTCCTAAGCCCCTGGTCTGTTCGCGTTTCTGCTGGGTGGGCTACAGCGTCCTTCAACCCCCCAGATAGCACCCCGCAACACCAACATGTTCCTGGTTAAAATACGAATTTTAACCAGACCGCATGGGTCTGGTCTCCTGTGGCAGACCCATCACATCTGGATCCCCTCCGAGCCCACGGAGATCCAGCAGAGCCAAGAAAAGCAGCAGGAAATACAACAAAGAGGACCCTGGAGTCAACTTCCTCCCCACCCCCAATCCTGCTCCACCTCCGGGGTCCCCAGGGAAAAACTGGTGCCAAGCTCAACAGCTAGAAAGCATTTTAGGAAGCGGATCCACTGGACCGCGTCAGCCCTTTCTCACTGAACGCCTGACTCCCAAGAAGCCTCGCAACATGCACCATTCATCTCCCTGCCCCCGATGCCTCTTCTTACTCTTCAGAGCTCACACACGCTGGGGTCTTGCTGGCTGGCTCCAAACTGAAGGCCACGTTCAAGACAGGTGAGTGTATTCTGTGATCTGCAAGGCATGCAGCCCGTGAGACCCGGCCTTTGCTCTCAGCTGGGACGCTGGCCAAATGAGTGCCATGTGAAACCACATCCCAGTGGGAATTAGCCAGAATTGGATTCCATGGCCTCAGAGGTCCAGAGACTTCACTTGCTCAAACAGGCCAGCTTTTCCTGGGGCCCCAGTGACCACCTGGTTAAATTAACTCCTCTTTCCCATAGCACTTAACTTTTTCAATCATCGTGGTCACGTCTGGCTGGTTCTCCCTTTATCGTGCGTGTTCAGTGCCCCACTGGAATGCTGTCAATCAACTGATGAGTGAAAGCACTGGGTGCTGACTCTCTTGGCTGGTTGACCCTCAGCATGAGAGAGTCAACACTCTAGGACATGGTCCCTGCATTCAAGAAGTTAGGAAGGCATAACAACAAGGTCCTACTGTATAACACAGTGAACTATATTCAAGATCCTGTGACAAACCGTAATGGAAAAGAATATGAAAAAGAATATATAGGGCTTCCCTGGTGGCGCAGTGGTTGAGAGTCCGCCTGCCGATGCAGGGGACACGGGTTCGTGCCCCGGTCCGGGAAGATCCCACATGCTGCAGACCAGCTGGGCCCGTGAGCCATAGCCGCTGAGCCTGCACGTCCGGAGCCTGTGCCCCGCAATGGGAAAGGACAAAAAAGGAAAGGCCCCGGAAACCAAAAAAAAAAAAAAAAAAAAAAAAGAATATATATAACTGAATCGCTTTGCTGTACAGCAGAAATTAACACGACATTGTAAATCAACTATACTTCGATTAAAAAAACAACGAAGTTAGGAAGGCAGACGCACAGCGATAACCCAATACGGGTACCAAACCAAAGAGACAGAGCTTTAATTACATCCTTATGCTGCTTTTCTCTCTCAAGACAGAATGGAGCAACGCTGAAGGCAACTGAGCATTTGTTCTGCTACCCAAGTTGTGGGGGAAACACATCTCCCTCTGTCTTTTCTCTGACGTTGATAGGGAGATGGGAGGTTAGACTGGGAAGCATCCCACTGAAGTCGAAAAAGCACAAGTTCTGAGGCTCTGAAGCTGAAGATCTGTATCTTAAATGCCTGCAGAATGGCCAGGAACAGCCTGGATTCTAAGCAATAGCACATCACACAGGCACGAAGGGATAGAAGGAGAAGTGGAGCAAACAGAAGCCGGACGATGCTTCTGCTATAATGTTCTGTGAAAACAGCAAGACGTAAAATTCTATGGTGTGGATGCAAACGACTAGACACAACCAACTCAAACAAATCGCAATCAGAGAGTCATTTTTTGACTTGGAGGAAAGGCCCCCAAGTGTGATCCTGGTTGCCTCTGGGTGGTGGGCCTTTCAGTGGTGTGTTTTCTTCCTTCTACTTTTTGACATTTTCTAAAATATGCATAAGAAGTATTCAAAACTTTCTTAAGTGAAAAAAATTTTATGAAAAGAGCAGGGTTTAAATGCTGCCTTGTGATGGAGAGGAGGAGGGAAAGGAGACAAACATTTGTAATCACAGAATTGCTTCATTCACTAGTCACTGAACCCCTCTGGGATGCAGTCTCCCAGTGGGGATGACGATAACTCTTCTCTCACTGGACTCGTGAATCAGCAGTCAAAGTGGCTACTTTTAGGAAGTAGGAATGGCAGGTGGATCAATGGATCTCTTTTTGATAAATGGCAGTACAAAAACGTTAGTCACTGTTCTCATCAACAATATTCTATCTAACTCAGTGGTGCTTTCTTGTACCTTCACCTTCCACAATAAGGACTTACTCAGCC